ACCCCAGCAGCAGGTAAAGAATAATGGGTATTAAACTGGGAAATTGGTAAAGATCTGCCCTGCCCAGGGCAGCACCCCAGCAGCAGGTAAAGGTGAATTTGTGTTAAACTGGGACATTGGTACAGATCTGCCCTGTCCTGAGCCAGCTCTGGGCTCTGCACCCACAGCAAACTCCAGCTCAGGAGCCCAAATTGCTGCCGGGCTCCTCTGGGCAAGCTCCAGATCTGGACCCCAAGCCAACAGGGAGAAGTTTCTGCAAGAAAATTGTGTTTTTAATGAGCAAAGAGTGAAGCTGCTCCAAACCAGAGCTCCCTGAGAAGAGCTGAAGGATTTGGGGGTGGGAATGAGATGATTACCCCAGTAATTCTGTGATTCTCTGCTCTCCTCCTTGGCTTTGGCTGCTGGTTTCTGTGGATTACTGCCAGCCCGTGGGGCTGGTGCTGTTCTGAGTCACCCAGTTCCCCTTTCCCCCGTGACAGCAGCGATTTCTGTAAGAGACATTGATTGATTGGGGAGGTGTGAAGTTTTCCCTGCCTCCCCCACCTTCCTCTCAACAGCCTTCTCCCCGTTTGGTTGCACCCCGAGTGTGTGGCTGTCACCCCCAGCCTGCCCCTGGGGTTTTCAGCTGATCTTTGTGCCCTCAGAGCAAGGGGAGGCTGCACACGAGCAGCTCTGGGTGCATCCTCACCGCCCTGTGCTGCAGGAGCTGAGCTTCTCCACAAGTTATCACCCAAAATCAACCCTTTCCAAGGAAAAATTCCCACTCCTGCTCCTTTTTGTGTGAGCTGCCAAAACCCTCGTTCGTGTGGCTCACAGGCTTTCAAAGCCAGGCTGGAGGGCAGCAGATGCAATCCCATATTGGGATTTTTCTGCTCCGAGTGCGCAGCCAGTGCTCTGGTTTTATTTCTGCTGCTGCTTTTTGTTTCTGTTCCAGTCTCTCTCTGCAGTCACCCCAGGACAAGCTGCTCCCACCGTGCTGACCTGGAGGGGTTTGTGGCTGTGCCACAGCCCTGGTGCTCCCCAGCTGCCCCTGCTCCAGCTACCAATGAGCAGTGCTTCAATGGATGAGCTGGTGCTGCTCGAGGAGCAAAGCTCTGCCATCCCCTGTCCCCTCAGCTTTCCTTACCCATTCATCTCTGGTGCTGGATTTTGAGAGCCAGCTCTTCCCTTTGGTGTTATTTTGGGAGGTTTCTTCAAAATACCAAGAGTTTCCAGTCAGAACTGTGGAAGGAACAGGGGTTGAAGCTGTTAAAGGCATTTGCTGGGCAGTGAAATCCCACACATGCCCCACACGCCCTCATCCTGTTGTTCTGGCATGGATGGAGCCGAGCCCAAGGACCTTGAGGAGCCTCAAATTTATGCAAAGACAGGAGCCAATGCTGTGCTTTGATGCGTGGCTTCCCCTGGGAGCCACCCAGATTACTGAGGTCAGGACACCCAAACTCCTCTCCCTGGGTTCTTGTTCTCCTCCTGATCCCACCCTCCAAGCAGCCAAAGAGCAGCAAACCTGGGTTATCACACCCTGCAGCGCTTCAGGGCCATTTAAAGGATTACATTTGAATTTTCTCAGGGGTTTTACCCCCTTGTTTGTTGGCTCCAAACCTCAACCACTGCCTCTGCTCTGCTTTTCCCTGTCTCCAGTGCCAACAGGGACCCTGGATGTGTGGTACCGGCAGCAGGAGCTGCACTCTGGGCTCCAGAACCTCTCCTTTTTCTGGAAGGTGAGTGCAGTGAAACCCCACGGCCTGGCTGGAACAGACAGGTGCCTGCTCAGGAGGGCAGGAGCCTCCTCAGATGGAGACTGTAAACCCCCTCCCTCCTAATTGGTATAATTTTGAAATTAAGGGGCTCTCAGGCAAAGATGTGGGAGCAGGAATTACAGGGTCCTCATTAGGGAAAAAAGAAAAATAAAATGAAAATGCAGAAATACAAAACAAACCTGCCAGAGTGAGAGCAGCAGAAAGCTGCTCCTCTGGGAATGCAGGGAGAGGCTGCTGTGGTGTCCCAAAGCTCAGATTGTATCCAGGTGGGAATTCTTGGCTCCTCCCCTGGGCGGAGCCTCTCCCCATGGGATGATGGGATTTGGAGGGACACTCACTGGCCATTAACAGAAGATAATTAATAATTAATGGCCCATGAGCAGCAGAGATCTCCTGGAGGGAGGATTGGCTGTGGAAGAGATAAAGAAAGCAGCCCAATGAACAGAGACAACTGCCCCACCTCTGACAGATAGAACACACAGCCCCAGGCACACCTGGTAACCCAGGATAGCCCAGCAGAGGCAGCAAAACCCAGCCAGGTGAGAGGGGAAACGAAACCAGAGCCAGGTGAGAGGAGAAATGACGATTTCTAGGATGGCAGGGAAGGAGCACAAAGGTTTCACCAGTTCCCAGGGGCAGGAACATGGACAAAGGGTGCCTTCCCTATTCCTCCTCTTACTCATCAGCATTTTTCTGCCTGCAATTTCATGGAATGCCAGAATTATTTGGACTGGGAGGGATCCTGAATGTCATCCTGTTCCATGGCAGGGACCCCTCCCACTGTCCCAGGCTGCTCCAAACCCATCCAGCCTGGCCTTGGACACTGCCAGGGATCCAGGGGCGGCCACAGCAAATCTGGGAATTCCATCCAACCCCTCCCCACCCTGCCAGGAACAATTCCCAATTCCCAATCTCCCATCCATCCCTGCCCTCTGGCACTGGGAGCCATTCCCTGTGTGCTGTCCCTCCCTCCCTTTATCCCAAGCCCCTCTCCAGATTCCCCACCTGACAGCATTTTTGGGATGTGCTGGGGGGCTGGAACCCCACAGGGAACATTCCACACAGAATTTGGTTTAAAACCTGCCAGAGTTGGGTAAAAAATTTCACTGTGTTCCCCCCACCAACACCACGCTGCAAGTGAAAGCAGAAATTCTCATGTAATTCTGTGACCCCAGGCTTTGTGGCTTCAGCTCGCAGACCTTTATCTTGCAGCACTTTCTTTATCAGGGGTGACTTCCTGCAGCATCATTCATAAAACAGGGTAATAAACTGCCTTTAGAGGTTTCACTGCAGCTCCCAGGCCAGGCTGACACTCAGCACCACTTCCTACCCAGGGTGTGCCCTTGTTCTCACAAAACACCCAGGAAAAGGGTTGAAAATTTAATTTCAGCATGTTTGCAGTGCTGCCTCCGTCCTGAGCTGCTCCCAAAGCTTTGCAAACATTTTGGTTTGTGTGCTTTGTTTCGTTATGACAAACATCAGCTAAATAAATGAATTAATGTCACAGAAACATCAGGAAACTAAAACTGAGAGTACAACTGAAGGCGTCCAGGGGGGAGTAAAACCAGGGTGTGGTGTTCCACAGACTGTCAGAGGTGTCTGTTCTGAGTGGCTCAATTTAAATAATTCTTTATGGTGGCTTTAAGTAAAATCCAGGGATTTCCTCCCAAGCAAAACCTGCTCATTTTGACAAATCCAGCTGAGCAGCTGATCATCTTTTTTTTCCCTCCCTTGTGAAAAATGTGGCTTTCAGTGGGAAAAAAGTGTGAATTCAGACTCAGGGCAGGAAGGGTTTCAATGTCCCCAGTGCTCTCACAGCAAAACTGGAATTGGGTGGGAAAAAGAAATCCTGGAATGGTTTGGGTTGGGATGGACCTTAA